TAAAGCACATAAAGTCAAAGGTGCACTCTGATTTTAAATAAGGTTACATTAAGACATTGGGAGACATTCTGCACTGCAGAGGAGGAACTTTTATTAGTGAGATGTTTGGTTCATTATTAGATGCATTTTGTAGCATTTTGTGATACTTGTCCATACACAGTATTGTATGAACATAAATATACCTTTAAGAACTATTGTTGATATACTACTGTAAAATGCATGTTATGTAATGCCAAAAAAACAAAATAGTAAAGGTCAAATTTTTTTTTTCTTAAATGAATTGGGAGAGATATAAACTACAAGTTATTGCCATTCTTAAATTCATTAAATTTGGCCTTTTAAGGTTTTACGTTTTCACAGAGGACTTTGTACCCTTGAATCGCTGTCCTTTTATTTTCATAAGATTTCACAATAAGTGCTTTGGCATTTTATATCCTCTTTAAAAGAAACAGATCAGTGGAAATCATTGCATCCATTCAGTTATCTTTCCTTACATATCATGCTTTGAGAACTCTCAGACGCAAATCGTTTCAAGAAGCCGCCCTGTTTTAGGCAGATGATATTTTATGAAACCTTAAATATGGGAGTTCTTCGTGGATGAAGATAAAAGGTCTCTGCGCCAAGCAGGCAGCAACAGTAGCAGCAATGACAGGTATTCCTGCAAGAAAGTGACAGGACAGTGTATGTTTTCCAGCTGCTTGCTCATAAATCACTGTAGGCTTTCTTGCTTTTTGGACTTTGGGGTCTTGTAGTTTTTGATGGATTTGCTGTGTATGTCAAAGAAGCATGCTTCAGACCATTCTTGTTCTTGTTGTCTGCTTCACTAGCTCTCTGCCCCAGATTTTGCACACTGCACACTTATTTGCTAGAAGGTTCAGTGTTATGTCTGTATTGTATATGTATATGTATACTTTGCCCACACTACCCTTTCAGACCATCATATCAGGTAATAAAGCTCCAAGAAAGGTTAAGTTTCTTCTTTGTCTACCGTGTCTGTCTTCCACTCACTGCTTTTAGCAAAAATTTCACATACTCTGTTTGATGTTTCCAGCCTTGTTTTGTGATTTCCCCAACTTTTTAATTCACTTCTTGTTAATTCCAGTCTTCCCAGTATCATCTTCTCCTGCTTTATCACGTCTAACCTCTCACATCATTCACCCACAGTTAATCCACCAAGTAAATAAAAATTAATGGAGAAGTCCTCTATTTTTTCCACCCTATTGCATTTGACTGGCATATTAATATTTTAGTGAGTGTTATGCAGCCGCAGCTGTGGATTTACTGAGTGTTTTACTGTGGCTTCTGAACGAGGCTCACCCATTCAGAGCTTAGGACCAGAACTACGTGTTTTATAACTGTGAAATAATGATGACATTTATTGGATTGATGGACTCAGTGGAGCGATCAGAGCAGAACAACCATTAAGTAACTCTTTTCCACTTGAACAGACAGGTCATATAGCAGGCACAAAAATAGAGACTCAGGTAGTGAAAAGAAGAACTACAAAGACCCAGATGCACTTACACACTTACCATAGTCTACACAGGCAAAAAGTATATGTACCGTCTCCAGGTCTCCCACTGAGTTTGACTTCCTGCGTCTGAGAGGTCACTGACGCTGGAGAACAGTAATTATTGGATAAAAGGACTACTGATCAACCAGCCATGCTTTAATGAGCACTTAAATGACCTGTTACACCAATAACTTCTGGTTAATTGACTTCAGTGTGAGCATTTATCTGTTTGCAATCTGAAATCAATTTCTGCTCCACAATATATTGCCCTGCATTTTATTATCTTGCCACATGTTCAGCAGATCATTATTTTACAAACTAAAAAGTTAAACCTAAACCTAAACCTAAACACAGTCCCCAGGAGAAATTCCAGTGGTGTGAAGATTCATATTCCTAAAGCAGCTATAATCAATATTATTATATTAACGATGGATCACATAGCCTACTTATATGGAGAAGAAGTAGCAGGAAGTGTTGGAATCTCAGAGAATTATCACCGACCTCAGCAGTTCACTTCAGCTCTTTCTAGCTTTAAGCTTTAAAAACCTACAGAACAACAACTGATCAGCACCAAACAGCAGAACAACAACTAGCTGCTGAGGAGCATTAGCTGCTTAAGAGCTAGATATTGAGTTGGTCGAGACCAAAACAGCCAAATTAGAATGACTATTGGGCTTTAGGCCAATATCCAGACATTTTTATCAGACATTATTATCGGACACTCATCCTGTAAAGTTCTGTATCAGCTAGATGTCTAAGCAGCCAAATCATTGCTAGCACTGTTTATGTTTATTTCAGGTTAAAAGAAAAATTGCATTATTTTTCAAATTCTCAATTTTTCAATTCATTATTCCAACCTGTGTCTTATTCACATTATAATACTGACTAATCCTCTGCTGACATTTGGCCACTGCAAGCCTCCTAAAGCTTACCAAATAACATAAGTCAACATGAAATGTAAATAAGTCATTGCAAATGCTTGGCGCAGCTGAAAGTAAAAACAGGAAGTGGTCCCATGATTAACTATGGTATCTAACTGCATAGGGATCCACTCTTGGGGCAGCTTGCCAGCTGACCAAACCAGCTAATAACAGCTTCTTTATCATGAAGAGGACAAAATTTTATTATTATAATTTTCATTTTTATTTATTAACCAGAATTAAAACAACATGTAGAGGTTTCACAATGGATGGCCTATTATATGCCATGGTGTACGAGCTGGTCCCACAGTATCTTACTGTCATTTTATTGAGAATGCCTATCTGACCCAAACGATAATTAATGAAACATCCAAGGCTGAAGGAAACAATCAGGCGCCCTACAACTGTCAATATACTCCAAACAAAACTAAATGTTCACAGAGGTAAAATTTTTTATGACCAAACAGAACGTCACATGTGGATTTAATAGCTGCAGCGTGTGCAGGTTGGTCAGACAAACTTGTGTCCTGAAATGAACAGAGCTGGAGTCACAGTCAGTATTTTGCTATTTGCTTGCAGTCTGAGAAAAAACACCAAGTTTGATTTCATTTGGAGTGTACTGTTGGACACAGCCTCAGAAAACAGCCCCCTGACAGGCTGGGCTGCTGCTTACAAGCCTGAGCCTCCTGCTGTCGCTTTTCTCAAACAGATTTATCTTAGACTTTTCTGTTCCATATGTGTATGTGTGTGTGTGTGTGTGTGTGTGTGTGTGTGTGTGTGTGTGTGTGTGTGTGTGTGTGTGTGTGTGTGTGTGTAGCATTTTGGTTGACAACAAAAGAGATTGGGTTTGTGTCATTACACTGTTTCCAAAAAATTACCTCATCCTAGTTAACGACAATATAAAAATGCAGAACACCCCAAAATAGGCTGGGGTTTTTTTTGCCCCGTTGGGTTGGGCCAGGCTACCGTACTCTCTGCTGGGTAAATATTACTCTGTCTGTGGTTGGGTTTGTCTGCAGCAAACAACATCCCACCAGGGAGGATGTCAGTATGGAAAGTGTGGCTGTGGTTTAGAAACAGAGGAGAGGAATATCAGTGGTGTTGTGGTTTTACAGAATGGAGGGACTACACAGGTCCTTTTCTTCTTTATTAATAACATGCACAGTCCAAAAGGCACACATTTATGAAGTCTATCCCACCCACACGCCATTCATTTAAGATATCCCCTGTTTTCTTGGAGTCAATACAATGTGCATGACAAAAAGATGTGTGTTCACTGAAAAAAAGTTCTCAAAGAAGCTTTTAATCCCAAGATATTGAAGCTGAGCAGATTCTCTTGCTGACAACCACATCAAACGAGCTCGTTTGCTCCCTCATTCCTGCACTTTGGAGCATGTCTGTCCCATCTTTACAACCCCTTTTTAAAGCACTTCATCTGGGGCCTCAGGTAGGGTTTCCACTTCCTGGTTGTCACAGTTATGGCTCATTAAAGACCTCTCTTTCTCAGCAGGAAGGAAACTGACTCCCCTCAGATCCTGTTAATGTGCGTGGGTCCTTAAGACTGACACTGTCACCGATGCACATCTTGTCTGCATTAACATTAACCCAGATAGAAGGCACTCTAATGACTGTCAGATGCTGCATTGTGGCACTGATGTCCGAGTTGTTAATCTAATGAAAAGTCACTGTTAAGTGCAAATGGGATCAACCAGCAGCTGTTTTTGTTGTAATCCTTTTTTATAGTCACCCTAATTAGGAGAAGACTAAGTGAAGTAAGTAACTATTTATTACAGTAAAATTCATTTATTATCAAAATTACTGCCGATTTATTCTTTTTCATTGTTTAAACAATTAATTAATTAGTTAATATAATATATCCTGCATTGTCATTGGTAATGGTATCCCTGGTCCAATGAGTGTCAGTCTCTCATGATGCTCTATAATACACAGATCTGACCCACAGCCTTTCTAACAGAGTAAGTCAGGACAGTAAGGTTGTTGAGAGGTTGACTCTGGAAAAAACTGATGCTGATGCTCCTGCTATTTAAAGCAGACAATCTCTGGCCTTTGGTGTCACACACACGATGTATCATTGTGGACAGAGCTGAGCCAGAGAGATGGTGATCCTCTATAATGCTGCCACTTTGCCACATTTTATAACAGCTCAGCTCCATCATCCAGACCCATCCCCGGGGACCTATACGCCACCTTCTCGGGCAGCAGAGATGCTGATACACATGACAAAGCAAAATCCTTTGACAAACATGTCAGTGTTTTAAACAGATTTTTCCTGCAATAATGTGTGAGAGTTGGTGTGCTGCTGAGGTCAGGCGTGTTGCTGCTGCAGGAGAAGAACTGGAAAGGTTGTGCGAAGTGAACTGTTCTAGATCAAATGGCAAAAATTTTCAGCTACATTATAAATCAAATGTGAATTGTGGGGTCTAAAGAATGACCAATCTCTTCATTAAAAATCGTTGTGTGAACACAGAATATTTCTTACTTAACATTTACTTATAAAAGTCATCAATCAGCATTAATCCTAAATCTGTCTGTTCTTTATTCCACAGGGAACCATTTTCTTACCTGGAAACAAAGTTTCTGAGCATCCAACCAGCGGCGACGATGCAGGGAAATTTCTTTTCGAGGTCATTCCAGGTAGGAAAAGATAAAAACAATTTAATCACTTTTATCTTTAAATGATGATAGCAGTTTGGCTGGAGCAAGAGCAGGAACAAAAACAGAAGGTTTGGATCAGTCTTGTCTGCTGCAGATATATTTGAGTGAAGTCTTAAACACTGTGAGAATCATCTGGGGAAGAATTTAGCCATTTCCTGATTTTATACGTATTTCTTTTCACAGTATGTTAACCATTTGTTTGGCTGTTGTTTACTAGGATTGCATGTATGAGTTCTCCTCCTGTCTGTTTTACATCAAATGATGGACTTTAATTAATACTGTATGTCGATACAGTATCTGATGACGGGTTTAAATGCTTGACAAATTACCCCAAGAGATAGAAGTGAAGGATGAGATGTGCAGGGAAGGTTGTGGGACAGGTTTTCGATGCACATTATATGCTTATTGAACAAAAATTGTTTAAGTGTTAGGCTGGTGATTCCTATATGCTCAGGAGACTCTACAAAACACAGAGGGAAAAAAGTAGATAGGGGTTTCATGTTGTGAAATTGGGATCACTGTAATCTTACAACATTCTTTCTCTCTTGCTCTCCAGTTGTATCACCTTCACTTTGTTGTTATTCCACTAAAAGGAACACTTTGTCTTGCCTCTATAAACCCTTTAGCTCAGTGAAGAGACACTGGCAGACTGACTGAAATTGACATTTTCATGACACAAACGTTTTAAAGTCTTGCTTTTAAAAGCAAAGTTGGTTTTGCTTTCTTGCCAAGAGTTAAATGAGAGAATGAATACCACTCTTGTGTCTGCAAATATGAAGCATTAGCCAGCAGGTGGTTAGCTTAGCTTAGCTTAGCTTCGCTTAACTTTAGGAGTGGAAGAAGGGGGGAAAGGCTAGCATGGCTCTGTGCAAAATTTTAAAAGCGGATGTAACTAATATATTATATTTTATTTGTTAAATACATAAACTGAAATGCAAATACTATATGGTATTATTGTGTACTTCACATAAGGATGATACAGACATAACTTGGTTTGTTAATTTGTGAGCTTGAGAGGCGCTGCTGAGCTGTTTTTACCCCCTGCTTCCAGTTTCAATGCTAAACTAAGCTAATTGCCTGCTGGCAGTAGATTCATATTTAGTGTACAGACATGAGAGTGGTATTAATCACTTCATCTAACTCTCTGCGACAAAGCGAATGTCTGCGCTTCCCAAAATGTCAAACTATCCCTTTAGTGAGTTCAGAAGCTTGGCTCAGAAACTATATTAAACCACTGACCACACACACACACACACTCACACATAAAGTCAAAGACGAACACATGCACAGACGCCAGGAGACTGTATGGAAACACGATTGAATACAACACAAAGGAATAGAGGGATATTTTCCCAGGCGGAGCAATGCCAAGAATGTGAGTCTATGGAATAGATATTTAAAACACACATGCACACAGGGGAAATAGAGACAGCTGGTAAAAGATACAGTAGCAGAGTGCATCAACAACATCAGTTGATCCATCTACAATAAAACCCTGTAGAAAACGCAGGATGTGCGCAGAAACTACTTGAATTTTATTTATCTGTATCTTTTCCCTTGTATCCATCACATTTTCTCTTCGAGGAAACAAAAGTAAAGTATCAAGACATTCTCTCACATGACTTGTGATTCTCACTGGACCTGGCACATAATGGTGCAAGTTCATCCTAAGATTTGTCAGAAAAAGGTCAATTAAAGGGTGCCAAGACTGAGCCAGAATTAAAGTCATTTAGGCAGTTGTCCAGGTATGTCACAGGTTCGCTTGAAACATGGCATTTTTGTTTTTGGATGCTAATGACCTTGCTGGTTGTCTAATAGTTTCTACATCAGACAAGGATTAACAGTTCCCCCGCAGAGATCATTTCATGCACTTCAGTTGCTATACTTTTCACTGCAGCCGTTCACATTCACATTGAAATGAACCAAAGTCAACTTGTCGACTTGTGATTAATAGTCCTCATGGTTGGAAGTTATTGTGTTATAGGAGAAACAATACAACAGTTTAGTTAACACACTATTTTTCCATATGCCATGGTAGAATACATTTTGATGTATCAGCACTCATGTAGTGGAACAAAAAATGATTTCTCAACATAAAGCAGCTCTCTGTGTTTGACTAGATATGATGTATTTTACTGCTCTTTCTGATGCTATTTGATCATCTCACAGTGAGTGATCAGGTGAAGTATTGCTCAAATGGTTAGTTTCCAAACCTACAACATTTCAGAGATGGGATTTGCACTCTAATACCATAATATGACTGACATCATCCATATGGATCTAATTAGTGTCCAAATAATCAGTTATGTTTTCGAATTTCTGGCAATGCTTGGCTATATAAGACTGTTTCTCATCAATAAGCTGATTTGTCTGATAGCAGAAGGAAAAAGGGAATTTCAGAAACAAAAACTTTCGGTTCTCTTTTCCATGTATTTCAGCTAAAAAACACCCACAATACAAATAAAGCAGATGTTAAGCTGTTTTTAGTCTGGTATTTTTATGCTGTTAACGGCACAGAGCTGAGGTCCCCCACACCTAACTTTACTTAGAGAACTGCAGAAGTGGTTAGGGTTAGGGTTAGGTTAGGGTTGCAGAGGATTGTTGACATCTAAAAGCTATCTTTTCTCTGGAAAAATGAAGACAGTGAAATATTTTTTATAATTCTGCTGAATTTAATTTCCGATCATTGTCAGGTACAGTTTTTATTTTATCACATGCCACACTGACTCATTGTGCCTAATTTCAGTTTTCAGTTCCCCCTTTCCCTTTCCAGGTGCTCACAGTGTGCATACAGTAGCAGATACAGTATATGCTGTGAAATCTCATATTATTAACTGTTGTAGTATAATTTTCTTAGTGCTTGTGTTTTCCAGTCTCCACCACAACAAACAGGTTTCTTTTCTTTTATTTTTCTGTGGGAATAGACTGTATAGGCTTCTATAAACACTCCGAAGGATGGAAGGAGAGATTCAGTTTTCTCTACCTGCAATAGCAGTCATAAAATAATTTCCACAGTATACCAGGTGCTGTTCCCAGCTGCCATATAACACCCAACTCAACAAGGATGCTGGAGTATCTTAGTAATTGTGTTGTTGGTATATATGCTGGATATGGAGGGTTTTTTTTAAAACTGTGTATGTCTTTTTTCTTTCTTGGTGATGGTAAATGTGGTCAAATATCTGTCAGTGAGCAGTTTCAACCTCAGCTTATGTCATTATTTCAGTGGGGTACTGTATGACTGTGAGGCCACATGGAAGATGTACTAATACAGTAACTGTAAATCAAATATTATACCATATGATGCATGATGCATTTTCAGTTTTGCGATCAACTGTCCAAGTGCAATAGTTTCACTTCGGTGTATTGTTTAATGTATACAAAAAATTGAAGGACATGCTCACAGTGTAGTTACAGTGTAAAAAATAACAGACAGCAGAGGCAGTTCATCCCTATTCTGTCCCTAATAGATAATGAATATGAGAGCTGTGGTAATATATAAGTTACCATTAGGGAATAAATAAGGACAAATGTGTCCTAAAATGTTTGTGGTGTGTTCAAGCTCAAGATTTAAAGGCAGTTACCAGCAGGATGCCCCAAATAATTAATGACTTCACCTTCAGATCTCTGTTTTTTTTAATCAAGGTCAGCACTGACTGATAGGGCTTTCATTATATGGATCTTTTTCATTGTTTTGTCCTTATCCAGTTGATATGTTTTTTTCTTAAACTGCTCTTAATTCTTGTATATTATATACTTATGGAGGATTTAGACTTTTTATTCAGAAAAAGAGAGAGACTGTGTAAGTTCATGGCATTTTTTCAAGGAATTTTCATTAAAGCAAGACCATGTTACTTTTGAACAACTGCCACTGGAGGAGAGGAGTCATAAAGTCAGCAAACTGACTCAGAAGGGTAAAATCTGCTAACGTTGGCTAACATAAGCCACCATATGCTACTCCAGACAAAGTAAAGCTGTGGCACCAAATCCAAGTGTATATTTTATTACTTTAGAGTCTAAGGTTTTGTACTTCAAAGACAGGCTTTAGTTTGACATTTTGGGTAATACAACAAACTTGCATGTATGAAATATAGAAATATGAAGATACAACCAGTGGTGGGTTAGCTTAGCATAGCATAAAGACAGGAAACTGCTAGCCTGGTTCTGTCCAAAAGTAATAAACTCCAGCGCTTCTAAAGCTCACTAATGAAAACATATCACACTGTCGTCTGTAAAAAAAAAAAAAAAAAGCTGCAACAACTGTTAAAACAACAAGTTTTGGTTGTATGCATGTTTCTAGTCTTCATGCTGAGCTAACAGCCAACCAGCTGCTGACTGTAGCTTCATATTTAACAGATTTATATAACATTTATTTAATCAGGTATAGTCTCATATCACAGAGACAAATAAGCACATGTCCCAAAATGTCAAATTATTCCATGTAGCCTACTGCCCACATTGTTGGTAGTAAACGTTCTTCTTCAAACTATGACTGGGCTTGTTATGGCTGTGTCTCAAATGCCGTAAAATTACTCACGCAGACTTAAACATGGATCAGAATATCATTATCCGCATGTTTACTACAAGGCCCTCGTGGGTTGTTGAACCACACAAGGACTCATCAGACTTGAAGAGACTCTCAACAAGTACCCCTAATGCTACTAAACTGTTTTCCTCATTCTACAACATCCACTGCTCCCTCATCCTGATGGAAAACAAGAACATGGCTTGTTATGAGACGGCAAATAAAGAGCTCTAAGAGAAGCAGGGAGAGAAAATTAAAGGAAAACACAACACATATATTCCACTGGTCTAAAAGGGGCCCTGCAGTTTGAACACAACGCATGGACAGTCTTTGGCAGACAGAGAGACGGGAAGTGATGGGGGGGGGGTGGAAGTCAGAGTTGTACAGAGATGTCCGTTGTCTGGTATCGGGTGACTGCCAGGGGCTTGAATAGCAGCATCAGGACATCTGTACAGGG